GCGCACGACTTTGGTGGGACTACCCGCCGTGCTGCCCAGTGCTGAATGAACATACCTACTTTACAATCTCACTGATTGTGGAGTCTGTTTTCCGCATGTCAGTTTGGCGAGCCGGGCAGGAGACTCTCTGCTCGGCTGTGGGACCTACTGCAGAGCGGACACCCCTCGGCGCGCCCCGAGCACTTTCCTCGGAGGAGCCTCCGCTGCCAGCCGCTCACCGCGGGAGCAGACAACAACCTCATGAAGCCGCGGACCAAACGGTATGTTTTACAAGGGGAGCCTGTAAAAGTACGGGCCGGGGTAGCTGGTAAATCGCACAGAGACATCTGGCGTGCAGCATAGTCCCTGTAAGGGAGGAGGGTACCCTGTATGGGGGGATTTGCTGACCGATAGAGCGGCCGCTAGCGATCTTGGGGGTAGATCGAGCAAATCCGGGGTGACTGCTGCATCCCAGTATTGGGAGCCAGGACGGACCTGTCGATGACTGGTATATAAGAGGTAGGAGAAGGGTAAGCGCACCCCCTCGCAATTGTGCTTGGTACATTTTTGGGGTAAGTGGACCCCCTCGCAATTGCGCTTGGTTTATTTTTTGCAGCTGCTGAAGGTTGTCAACTGGAGTGATGCTTGTATGATGTGAATGTTTGGAAATTTAATGTTAAAGATTTCGTGTGAGTATGTGGAAATGTTATGTTGAGATTTATATGTGTATATATGCTTGTTAATGTGTAAATGTCTAAAACTGTGGATTGAATGTTTGAGTAAAAGACACAGCTCAGCTGCGGAGCGTGTGTGGAGTTCTGATCCGCAGTTTCGTAACTCCACAAGGGGTACGGCCGGAGACGAATGAAGTGTGACTCACTGGTGATTTGGAACTTGAATTTATATGTTAGAGTTGTAATTGTAAGTTTGAGTTTCATTATCTTAATCATTTTGTGGTGTTGGTATAAGAAAGTCCCTATATGGTGCATCGCATAAATGTGGGTATTAAAATGGTGTCTTTTACATCCAGGAAATAAGTGTATGCCCTCATATGTCCTGGAATGTGTGTGGTGTAAACAGAGGTTGCAAATAGATTGTGGGGGGATATTGAATGCCCTGAGTGTCGGGTTTGGACTCCTTGGGATAAGAG